TAAAAAAATCTGCAAAATTGTAATCCGTTATATTCAGGATTCCAGAAAATTAAAAAAAAATTTTACATGTTACAAAGACTAGAGGGAAATACAGTATAATGTTAAAAATGTTATTTCTGCATGGTGGGAATATGGATAAGTTCTGTCTTCATTTTACTTTTCATTTTTCATGCTTTCTATTATAAGAGTGAAGATCTCTTCAGGGTGAAGTGCAGTGAATGAACTAAGAAGCATACACATACACAGATATACTCAGGCTGAAAATATATTATGAAAAATAATTTTAAGCAACAAAAAGTCATAACTATTGGATTTATGGGAAGCCTGAAATTCTCATCATAATTTCATTTTTGGTAGAAAATCTTGTCTTCTGGAAAAATCTTATTTTAAAATATAAAATACTACAGGGTAGGGTGAACATTAATATGTGAACACCATATGAAAATTGTACCTGAGTTTGCAGATTACAAGAACCATAAACTTAAGTAAGTAGGGAGAGGCATAGAGGATTTTTTCTTAGGGCTGAGGATCAAACCTAGGGTCTTGAGCAAGTTAGGAAAGCACTCTATCTTTAAGCTACTCCAGCCCAAGATATTTTTGACGGGGATCTTGCTGTTTACCAGGATGGCCTCGTATTTGTGGCTCAAGTTATTCTCCTGCCTCAAGAACAACAACATGTAGAACTATAGGCACACACCACAGCCCCCCACAGATCTAAGCCTTGTGATAGTCAGTTTCAAGCACATAATAGTAAAATGTTCCTTACCTTAATGCCAGATGAGGGGTGCTTCATTCTCAAGAATTTCAATGAAACTGTCCACAGAAAGAAACATCACATAATACCTAGAATCTCATTGTGGAATTCTCTGAAGGTGCCACCTGAGTTCTTATTTGGTAAGAGTTAGGACTTCTAGTTATATAGGAAGTGATTTCTAAGTCACTTATTCAGAAAACCTGCTGAAGCCAGCTTAGTGTGAAGCATAAGTTGTAAGTGGGACTCAAACAAACAGCTCTGGAACTCAGTTTGTAAAGAAAAGTATTATAGCAGCACAGTTTGTAATAGCTAAAACTTGGAAAAGCCCATTTGCCCATCAGTTGGAAACTGGATAAAGAAGATGTGGTTTTTCTATAAAATGGAATACAACTCAGCCATAAAGATTGAGAAATTAGAGTCATTCATAGGAAAATGGACACATTTTGAGGATATACTCCTAAGTGAAATAAATAAGTCACATATGTGTAAATACCGAATAGTTTCTCTGGTGCAAAAAACTATAATATTACTCAAATCCTAATGGGACAATTAACAATGTGAAATAGGAAGAAAAGGGCTAAAGGTGTAGGGAAAGTGGGAAAGGTAGAGAAAGGGGAATAAGGGAAAAGAAAAAAAATGTGAGAAAATGATAAAATGGAATTAAAGTGTTTGTAAATGGGGAAGGGAGGAGGGGTGAAGGGAGGGCAGGGACAAGGGGAAAAAATGAGAACCAAGACCCGTCATGTAAAGGTACAAGATCCCAGTGATGAATGTAACTGTACTGTATACCTAAAATGTACCAATAAACTCAATAAAAAGAAAGAAAAAAAGAAAAGCAAATCTTTGTTTACAGCAGTCCAATCCAACTGTCTACTAGGGATCAAATTAACTGAAAATAAGCTCTGGAAGTCTGACAGCTTTAATTGTCACTTAATAGACCCACTTCCTAAACCCCCTAATGTCTTGTGTTGATTGTTATTGCCAAGGGTCCCATGAGTAAATCTAATTTAAATTGATACTCAGTTTGGCTAGGATTGAAGAACTAGTGGGTGGCAGTTGAGGAATAAAATGGGGTAAAATTTCTTGCATCTTTTTGGTGGTTAAAGCACTTGAACTTTAATACTTAAATACAGCCCATCTGGAGTCCTTTAATGAAAAGCTTTAACTCTCACAGAAAGGATGTGAAGGTCTCTTTGTCTTCCACTGAAAGTTTTAAAAGGCAGTCAGCAATTAATAAATGAGATCATTGCTGAAATAAAATTCTTTTTTTAAACGGAATTTTAATGGGTTCATATCTCAAACTGAGCTTGCTTGTGTATAGGATGAAAGGATGCTGGTTATTTGTATGACCTCTGGGGGACCTATAATGATTGGAGGGAAGAAATTATAATCCTTCAACCATTCATGCTTGGAAGATTACTTTTAATAGGTACATAAATTATCCATGTCATGCTTTCCTTTTGGGGAGTATTCAGGAATCAACAAAAAGTACATAATGGATCAATATTTTCTGTACCAGTTGTCTTTTAAAAAATATTTCATTCCTCCTTTTCCCCCAGTTATCCTGACAGTTACACATGTCTGGATCTATCTTATTCACATAAGGAATACCTCTGATTTTCCAAAGCTATCTGCTGCCACAGATGTTGACACGCTTTATGCTCATGTGGCTCTCATTAAATCTGCACCTAAGATTGAAGCCTACTCCATAAATCAGTGAAGCTCCTCTGAGACCTACTTAAGGATTATGTCCTTTTTATTGCTGCAATACAAAATCAGGTTCATTGAAAATATGAGTCAGAAGAGAGACACTTCTGTACAGTATATTCCCACCAGTAACTGTAAAGTGACTTATCCAGCCTTTTAATAAAATGGTATACTTTGGCCATACCACAGCATGAAAATGATATCCCTAAACCCTCAACACATATCAAAATACTTAGATAGGCCAGACACATTGAATAAGTCACTGTAAAATAGAAAAATACTTTGAAGATTGATATGAAGTCTTACAGTTCCCCAAATCATCAAGGGTTATAGGTGGGGTGGGGAGGGAAAAGAGGGAAAGGATATGAAGAAAGGAACAGGGTTGCATTATGTGCAGGTACCCATTCCATATAAGGGATGTAAACAGTATGTACTGCACACATGTGCCAATAAACTAACATAGTGTAGAAGAGAACAATGTGATAAGAGAAAGAAGAATTGATAGTGTCTAATACGGAAAATAAAAGGAGTATCTGGGTGGTAGTTCCCTTTTTTGGTATGTGTAATTTTTTTTGTAGCTCTTTATGGAGTTTAGTACAATCTCCTTCACAAAGCAGCCATTGTGATTTACATATAAAACCATCAAAATTAGCTGCGATGAAATTTCCTACCTTCATATTTGCTGATTAATAAAAGGCTAATAATAAAAGAACACATTTTCTTTTTAGAAAATGTAGGAAATAATAATGTGAATTTAAAAATTGAACATTTTAAAAATCCCTGAAAAAAATAAACCCTTTCTATAGCCCTATGGTTGAGACAGATATCCAAGTTTTCTTTTTCTGATATGCAAAATGAGGACCATGAGCTGGAGCTGTTTGCTCATTTGAAATAAATTACTATGACAGTGCATAAGAAAGAGAAGAGCTCTGAGATAATTGGGTTCAAAACAAGTGTTTGCAGAAAGACCTGAAGGTTTTCGTACAGATTAAAAGGTATATAAATGAATGATTTGGTTAAAGGTTCTAGCTGGGAAAATATAAAAATAGGGATAATAATTCAGTTAGACAATAAGGGGGAGATAATATTTGAATATTAATTCAACAAGCACAACTACTTACTGTGTGTACAGCTGAGCATTGGGAGTTTTAGTTATATGTTATTATAGGCACTATGGTGGTCTTCCAGGCCTCTCTGAAGTCACTTGCAGCCTCATCAGTAATTCCCAGTCACATCAAGGACTCTTCTTCCTCAAGCTTCTGTTTTGTTTTTGTTCTTGTTTTTAACCAGCAGATATTCTCTGGTCCCAAGAGTGTTCCCTATTCAAGCAAATGCAAGCAGGCATGAAACTTTGGGAAATCAAGAAAAGTCTAGGGTTGAACTTTCAAACAATAAGGGATACTGAACCAGATTGAGCCCCTTATAAGGGTAAAGATTTACTGGGTTCACAGGAGGCAGGCAGCTGCACCTTCTTGCTGGTGGGGCTCCACAGGATCTTGAAGCAGTGCATCATATGCCAAGACAACATTCTAGCTCAGGCCTTTCCTCTTATGAAGTCATGGTCCTGTTGGGTTAGTTCCCTACTGTTATGGCTACATTTAACCTCATCTCCTCCTAAAGGTCACAGCACCAAACACCAGTCAGATTACAAGTTTCCATCCTCTTAAAACTTCAAAATGGGAATTTTATTTCAACGTGTGTTTGGGTGGGGATATTCACACAGTAGGAGTGAGCCAATATGCCTTGGTGGGACAATTATGTACTGTGGAGTGGATCTTGGCACAGTTGCTCAAGTAGTAACTCTCTCATTAACACACTTTTATTTGCCTTCCTCCCTTCACTGCTTAGCTTCCCAGAGTTGTATTGTGCCTGCCTCCTGGGACTACTTCCCAAAGACAATTTGTACTCAGACTCGTTCTCAGGCCCTGCTTTGGAGGGAATCCAAAGATACAGGCTAAATGGGTGTTTGACAGAGGAAAATTGAAAGATGCTTTATTTTAAAATATTGATCTTGTCTGATTTGCATCCAGAAGAACAGAGCTTGATAGAAAATGAGAATATTTTATGGAAGCGAGTAAGGATAAGTCATGGAGAGGAATGTTTGAGGGAGATAGCAAGATTTACTCCCAGACTTGTTAAGATATGTATTTGATCAAGAGGCTGAATACAACCTGTTTCTAAATTTGTGGACGATAACACAGCTTGCATCATTGATGACAATTACAATGGAAATAGTAGAGAAAAATTTTAGAGAAAATTCTTCAAGTAATAAGTTACTGTGTATAGTATGTGTAGTCTTTAGATTTTTAAGTCTTGTCTCCCAAATTCCCATATTATCATGTTCTTTCTGATGTGTTTGATGAGAATATTCACATACACATCTATAAGTACATTTTTCTTTCTCCTTAAAAGAAGACTGAAAGTGATAAAATAAAACAAAGAGATTTCAATGTTTTGGAAAGGTTTGATATTCAGTATTTATCTGTTTTGTGTCTTCATCAAATGTCTTCAAAGGATAATATCAAAATTCTTATTACAGAACAACAGCTGCTGTGCACTTTTTGACAAGTACATGTTAGAGCTGTTTTTTCTTGTAAGTATCTTACTTGGATGCTCTTGGCATGCACTGTTCTCATTAACCTAGTTAGTTTTTGAAGCTGATGATAGTCTGTATCTTATATTTAAAAACTCTTCTCCTACTTAAGCTTTTCTCAACTTTATTATTTATTAGTAAGGGGGTTTGTGATACTTAATACATGAGTTCATCCTGGGGAGTTGATATATCCCATATATCACATATCTTAATCCTTCTCACTTCCCCCTCATTGACCCATCCACTTTCTAGTTCTATTTTGGATTAGACAGAGCATTACCTTCTGGTGCCACCTTACTAAATGTATAACCAAGAGCATTTAAGTGTGAGCTCAAGGTTATGAGTTGAGTGAAGTGAGAACACGATAATAACAGAGAAATGGAAGTGACTTTTTCCATCCAACACCTCAATGAGCAGAATTTTATCCAGCGGAGGCATTGCTAATTGTTGAATTTACATTAAGATTGTAAGCTCTGGCAGGCCTGAAATTCATGCTGGCTCATTTCCTCTGCCTCATTCCACAAACAGTGTCTCCAGCCCCAAATGCTAAGGCCAAAGGAGAGGAGTCCTGCCTCTGTATGAGATAGAGCTTTGGCCTTTTTCTTGGAAGCAAAAGATGTTTTTGATAGGAGTAGAAACAGTTCTAAGATTTAGCAAGTATTCCCCCTGGCAATACCTTTTCTGTATCATTGTAGACCAACTTACTTCTCATCCTGCCCAGGGGCTCTGTGCAGAGTTCTGTGCAAGTTCATCAGAGTGCTGAAGGGCCTGTGTTGGAAAAGGCTGAAGAGTCTTCACTGGAAGCCTGGAGACAGATATCCAAAGGTGACAGTGAAGATTGGAGCTCCTACAGTAAGACTTCCTTCTTCTTTTACCTCTTATTCTATTCAGGCTAAAGCCTATCGATTGGGGCCACCCATATCCAAGGTAGGTCTTCTCTCTTCAGGAAATCAATCATCCACACACATGAAGAACTGTGCTAAACCAATCTGCTAGGCATTTTTATTTAAATTGACAGTATAGTTAACTATCACAATCCACCCCTTGTCAATTTGACAACCAAACATATACTTAGTCTCCAGATGCAAGAGCAAGTGCATATGCCTAACATGATACAACTACCCTGCATACAAATAAAGCATACTGATTACCTCCTCAGAATAGAAGGAAAACTTTCTTTTGGGGATATTCAGTCCTAACATTTCATAATTTAAACATTATAATATAGATTTAACAATATATAAGAACCAATATTAAGTCTATCAATATTATGTTACAAAGTAGGGAAATAAGGGTACATGCTTAATATATGTGTATATATACATATGCATATTAAACTAGGAGAACAATTACAATCCTTGTGTCTGTAATTGGTCATGTGTTCTTAGCTGGTATTATAACTACTTTCTTCTACTACCTATTCTGTTTACTCTTGGCCTTCAGCAAGTACATCAGCAAGTCTTGGTACTCCTAGTTGAGTGTCCCAAACTTTCATTTCTGAAGGTTTTGCGCTATTTATCATCCTGTCTGGATTGGGTTTCTGCAGTTTTCAACTCACCTGAATAAGAAGATATGGTAATAGTATGTAATATCCTAAGAGATCTCCTGCACTCTAAATGTGTTCTTCCTTTTCTCCATTGTGGAGTAATAGTCCAATTTCCCCCAATAGTCTGAATCAATCACCCCTGTCAACCTCATAACTCCCTTTTTATTGTTTACTCAGAGGTTCGAGGAACCCAAAATGATTGGGGGGGTCTTAGTTTTCAGTTCAATGGAATCATTTTTGTGTTTCCTAGTACAAGCTGTCCTCCCTCTAGAACTAAGATTTCTAGGCCAACAGAGAATAAAGTCTTGGGATAAGAAGCAAAACTTTTGCTATTGGATCTCTAAGTGTAATGGTGAGTGAGTGGTACCATTTCCATTTCTACCTCATGATTCCTGGGTCCATGAGTCCTGCCTATGAGACACAGTAGCATATAGTAAACACTGATTCAAAGGATATACATACCTTTCAAGAACCTTGACACAGTCCTACAGGGTATTAACACCTAGTTGGCACTGTAACTTCATCTTTAAAAGGCCATTCCAGTTATCTCTCAATCCAATTTTTTTGGATGGTGAGGAACATAGTAAGATCAGTGAATTCCATGAACATTAGCACATTGGCTCACTTCTTTAGCTGTGAAATGTGTTCCATCTTCAAAAGCAATGCTGTGAAATGTATGGAATGCCATAACAGTGGATGAGGCATTCTGCAACTCCTTGGATGGTAGTTTTGGCAGAAGCATTGTGTGCAGGGAAGGCAAAGCCATAGCCAGTATAAGTGTCCTTACAAAACACTGCCCTTTTCATTATGGAAGATGTCCAGTGTAATCAACCTGATACCATGAGGCAGGCTGATTGTCTCAGGGAATAGTGCCATATTGGGGACTCAGTGTTGGTCTTTGCTGCTTGAATATTGGGCACTGAGCAATGGCTATAGTCAGATAAGTCTTGAGGAGTGAAAGTCCATTTTAATAAGCCCATGCACACCTCTATCCCTGCCACCATGGCCACTTTTTCATGAGCCCATTGGGTAATGACAGGGTTGGCTGAAATCAAAGGTTACTACTAACCACAGAATGGGTCATCTTATCCACTTGGTTATTCAAGTTCTCCGCTGTTGAGGTCACTATCCTCACCTGTTGAGGGTACATGTATACAAATATCTTTACATCATTTATCCATATGGAGAGGCCTGTCAATATACCTCTACACCAAATATCTCTATCACGAATTTTCTAGTCACGTTTCTTCCAAGTCCCTGACCATCTGACCAGACCATTGACTGCACCCCATGAATAAGGATATACTTATACATCTGGCCATTTTTTCTTCCAGGGAAAATATATGGTGTATTTCCCACATGTCTGTCCATGATGAAAATTTTCTTTCACCACTGTCCTACAGGGATGTCCTGGGGAGGGGCTATAGTGCTGTAGCTGTCCACTTTTGAATGGTGCCTTCAAAGCATGCAGAGCTATCTGTAAATCCTCCCCTAGTGTTTTCTTCCTCTTTCAGCTAATTTTATGGTACACTCCACTCTGGTGGTTAAGGATGGCTTGAATACTTGCTTTGAATCTTTGTCTCATGACACGGTTTTAGTACTTTCTTGTATCATCTTTTTATGGGATAGTTTGAACTTTCTTACTGCATTGCAGGTTCCATTTGACATGTATAAGGCATCTCAGGATGCCCACACCAGGGCTCCAGTGAACAAATTGAGAGCTGTGTCATTTATAACTTAATCTTCATAGCATTTCTACCATGTTTTGATGAAACTTAGTGTCAATATCTGGAAAAACTTAACAACAGGAGACATTGCAGTGGGCATCTTTGAAAAATACAGCCTGCCACAGATGGCCAGTAAAACCTTGAAAGTATCCAAGTTGTCTTTCGATAGATAATAGATGAATAAACTATGGTACACCAAACAAGAAATATTACTCAGCAAGGAAAAAATAAGCTATTTAATGATTCAAGAAGCTAATATTAATATTGCATTAGTCACTTTTCTGTTGCTGGGAGAAAATCTGACACCCTCAATTTAAAGAAGGAAAAGTTTCTTTGGCTCACAGTTTCAGAGGTTTCAGTCTATGGGCAGCTAGTTCTGACAGAGAAATATCACACAGTTAACTCTTGAGTTATGATCAGCCTCACATATAAACAACTTGTGTTAAGAGAGGAATTATCTACAGAGGAACTTCAGCAACTTCTGGCTGATCAACAGAGAATGGCAACTGAGGAGCCTTCTGAAGAGGGGGGGATATCAACAATTAGTGCATTAAAGTTCTTCTGAAACAAAAGAAATCCTGAAAAAATGGACAAAGCTACAAACATTTATAGAGAAGATCCACCCAGACAGAGAGAAAGCCAATCTTTGCATTCACTTGCTTATTGACTATGTAATATCATACTATAGAACAGTATTAAAGAAAACACAGAAACAGACAACCTTAGACCAGGTTTTAGTTCTGAAAACTTGAGACTTAGTGATCTAGAACAGGTCCTAGTGGGTTACAGACTCTCCGAGGAGAGAAAGGACACCAGAGAGCCAGATTTCTGATGTCCTTGTGGAAGGGGACTCTCCTTCCACACAATAATCACCTTCCATTTCATCCTCCCTTCCTGAAAGCCAAATATGTCAACTTCATTGGTGAATACAGTATGAAATTGTTGTTTCTGGCAAACTAAGCACATTTTAAAACTTTTTGGTGAGTACACTAGGAAAATTATTGGTGTTTCTGGTAACTCTTGCATATTATACAACCCCTTTTTATTATGAGAAGGTTAATTAAGAGGTTCTTGGGAGGTTAAGAATGCATTCTGGGTATTTCCTTTATTTCTTATTGAGCTCTTAAGTCAAGGGTCCAATGTAGTGAGATGGAGCACAGGAAAGTTGCTAAGCTAATGGTATAAAGGGAGAGCCAGAAAGAATGGAATCAGGAATTTGATGATGTTCCCAAGGTCATGGCCCTGTGACTCATCCAGACACATAAAAAATGTGCTTTACTAATTCCTTAAGCATCTGTCAAGCCCATTAAGTTAACAATCAAGATTAACCATCACAGTAACACACTATATAATGGAAAAATCAAAGCTATGGAGACAGTAAAAGGATTTGTAGCTGCAAACAGTTAAGGGTGGGAAAGGAATGAAGATGCAGAGCACAGAAGAATTTTAGGACAGTGAAAGTCTTCTGTGTGACATTGTAACAGTGGGTAAGTCTATTATTATATTTGTTCAAACTCATAGGCATGAACCCAAATGCACACTATGGACTTTGGGTGATTATGATTTGTCAGTGTACTTACACAGTCACAAATTTGATAAAGGGAAAGACTGTTCAAGTGTGGGAACAAGATTATAGGGAAAACTCTCTGATGTATCTTTCAACTAAAGATGCTATGAACCTAAAAGTGCTGTGAAACATATATCCTTCTTTCCTTCCTTCCTTCCTTCCTTCCCTCCTTCCTTCCTTCCTTCCTTCCTTCCTTCCTTCCTTCCTTCCTTCCTTCCTTCCTTCCTCCTTCCTCCCTCCCTCTTTCTTTCTTTCACATTATCAATTATATATTTTGATCCTTATTTATACTTTTGGTGTATTTACTCTTCCTTTCTTTCTTTCTTTCTTTCTTTTTCTTTCTTTCTTTCTTTCTTTCTTTCTTTCTTTCTTTCTTTCTTTCTTTCTTCTTTCTTTTGACAGGATCTTGCTCCACAGCCCAGGCTTGCCTCAAACTCATGATCCTCCTGCTTCAGCCTCCTGAATGGTGGAAATATAGTATGCACCACAGTAATTGGCTCAAAAAATAAATTCATTTTTTTTCTTTCATTAAATTTATTGTTACATTTTAGGTGTACAATACAGTTACATTTATCATTGGGAACTTACAACTTTACATGATGTATCTTGGTTCTTATTTTTTTCCCCAATCCCCTGCCCTCCCTTAAACCCCTCCATCCCTCCTTATTTACAAAGACCTTATTTCCATTTTTTCCTTGAGAGATGAAGATGAAAACAACACTGAGATTCTACCTCACCCCAGAAAGAATGGCTGCTATCAAGAAATCAAGCAAAAAAAAGAAAAAAAGAAAAAAGAAATCAACCAAAAACAAATGCTGTTGGGATTGTGGGGAGAAAGGAACCCTTCTCCATTGTTGATGATGCAACCCTTGTGGAAATCAATTTGGACATACCTCAAAAAACTAGGATTAGAGGTCCCATTTGACCCAAGTATCCCTCTGCTGGTTATCTTCCCAATAGAATTAATAGAATCATACACAATGATACATGCACACTCATGTTTATAGTGGCA